GAGGATCTCTGTGAGTTCAAGGGCAGCCTGGTCTACATAGTGAGTTCCAGGACAGCCAGAACTGCATAGAGAGAAATAATGGAGATAGCTGCTGTGGGCTGAGGTGCCAGAAAACCTACTGTCTGTCATAGAGCCTTCCTGGGGAGGAAAAGAAAAGCCTTTCCTTGAACTTTCCATCCAGTCAGGGAGGGGGTGGGGCAAGGAATGCTCTTGTTCCCCTTTTCTAGGGTCTCAGAATGCTCAGGATTTATTGGATCATTTTCATTAATGTCTGTACATTAAACCAATGAGAAGGAGCAAGGTTGAGAAAAGCAACAGAGTTGCCTCAGGCTCACACAGTTAATCTGTCTTCCCAATAGGAAGAAAAACAAAGCACTCTGCCTGGGCCCTTGGGACCTAAGGCAGGACAGAGCTCTCCCATTCCTCAGACAGTTCTGACCTAATGGAGAGTACGGTAACATGGGCTGTCTGTCCTCTGAGAACTGCTGAGAGACAAGAGAAGCATCTGCAGCTCCATTGAGCAGCAAGCCTCTTATAATCCCTCCCTTCCAGGCTCCTCACATCCATCACCATACTAACCTGTCTGGAGATGCTAATCCTCTGGTGGAAGAAGAGTCAGAAACCAGTGTGGAGGAGAAGGCCAATGAAGGACCTGGCCTGCTCCCAACTCAAATTGTAGAATCCCAGCTGACTCACTTTTGGATCCTCACAATCCCACACCCCCTCACAACACATGCACTTATTGTCCCTACACTCACGATGGCTTAGAGGTTGAGAGTAGTAGAGGACAGTCATCTGGGAACCGCTCTGCCACTTTTCCATGTTACCAGCCTATTGGCATGCACAAAGACAAGAGACTAGCACACAGCCAGCAGTAGCAACCCCACCCCTTGTGCTGTAACCTCTGGGATCACCATGAAGGCCTGGGTGCACATGCCCAGATCTACAGCAGATGACGGATTTAATCAAGACACTGTACCATCCTTGCCATGAAGAATGAGGCATGTTGTAGGTCAGCACTAAAGACAATATTCCATCTGATGTGTTCCTTATGGAAGAGGAAGGCTGCAGGGGATAGCCTTCTTCTTGGGCAATCCAAAGTAGCTTTTCAATCAGAAGCTGAAGCTCAAAGGGCTGATGAGCCATGCTTGCTATATGCTGTGGGAAGAACCTGAACCCAGGCCAGGCTGTCCTAGAACTCTGCACTCCCTATACCTCTTTGGATATTACTAGGCTAGGGTAGAGAATAGGCTGGTGGCAGGCTGCTGAAGATACTGGGTCTTTGTCATCCTTCCAAGGAAATGCTCCTCCTTCCCAGGACAGTCTCGGAAGCTGATCCGACACTAGCCAGAGGACACTGGTTTCGTTAGAGTTGACCATTCCTCTCTGATTCAGTAAAAATGAGGAATGTCAGATATCCTGAAAACAAAGCTGAATTACATGATCTGGATTCAAGTCCAAGTTCTGGGGCTGGGGATGCAGCTTGGTTGGTAGAGTGCTTGCCTGGTGTTCAGTTCTCAGCACTGGAGAAAAAGCGCACAGTAGTATATGCTTGTGATCCTCATCTGGGATGCATGAGCCTGCCTCAAAGGAACAAAATGACAACGAAATCCCAGCCCTGCCCCTTCCTAAATGTGGATCCCCAAATAAGGTCTCTGTGTCTTGGTTTCTTTGACCATACAAGGGTAGAAGCACAAGACACAGTGCATCCTGGGAAGGTTCACTGCCATCACCAACTCTACATGGGTTAACAGTGTGTCTCTGGGTGCCAAGCACCATATCCTCCACTCACAAACATAATTAAAATTTAATACAAGTGGAGTGCAAAGCAGAGAAGAGCCAAGAAGAAAGAAAACAGTCAGTTCTTCCCAGACAAGCTCTTTGGAGCCCACTCTAAAGATGCAGTATAATGGCTTTTTCTTCTCAAGTACCCCTATCAGCAAGGCCCATAGACAAGTCTGACCCAGCTTGGCAGGGAATAAATCTAGATATCAGATCAGTGAAGAGCAGAACTCACTGCCCGAGGCAGGGAACTTGGGAGCCATGAAGCCAGGCATAGCCCACTAGACTCCTAGCCACTCCATCATAAATCTGTTCTTCCCTGGGACAACAGTAGCAGGCATTAGAGAAGACCTACAGGCCCAGGATGTGAGAGCCTTGCACCCACTATAGGGGAGGAGTTCTCTGCTGGCAAAGCTTGCCTCTGATAATCCTAGTGCTCACAGAATGGTAAACTGAAGGTGGACCTCACCCAGCCAATCCCACATCCCACGTACCCAGAGCCTCTCCCTTCTCTGACCCCTCTGATGTGATCTCCTCCATCTTCCCTACTCATCTATCAACAGTTTGATGACACAGCCCCTCATCCATGTTACTGATGCCCTGGAATCTGCTCCCTGAGCACAGCCTACCCTCTTGCTTGCCTCTCTCTCTCCTACAGACTGGTGGCCCTGTGCCATCTGTGATCACCTATGAACCAGAGTCAAGCTCAACCTGGCAGTCCCTTAGGGACTCAAAAAAAAAAAAAAAACCCTTCCTTTTTCATGCTTTCATATTTTTCAGAAGAGTTGACTCAACAGAGATGAATATAAGCGCTACTGTGTGTGACCGGAGGCCCACAGCTCTTAGGGTAAGATGGGAAATGTGTACAACACTGGCAGAACCCTTAGATTAATTCTGTGCACCACACCACTCCAGGAGGCACCATTCTCATTGTGGCATAGCTACGCAAGGCAGGGTGTCTGAGACAGAAGTTTCCATTCTGCCCTTCAGTAGAAGCTGCCAGAGGATTCCCCAAGGCCAAGCCTTCCAGTCTTTGTCCTACTTCTCTCTCTGACCCCATCCTCCTGCAGCAAGGGCTCCCAGAAATGGGCTTTAGGGAAAACCGACATTTTCAAAGCACAAATCACCCCCCCCCATCCACCACCAATGCATGTTTTACATGTTCTCTACGAATCCTGCAGGGGCTGGCTCTGCAATTTTAATGCGGGTGCCTTTCTTCTGATGGGGGTGGTGACTGCACCAATAGAGGAAGACATGTGGGCAGCCCTGAGATGGGGGTCAATTCAGTCAAGTATTTATTGGTATCCACTGTGTTGGCTGCTGGAAGCAGGTGGATGAATAGAAGGGAAAAGAACCTTTTCTTTTTAAACCCTCACTGTTCTGATTAAGTGTCACTTTTTCCCTCTGACCTTCACCAGTCCCCGGCAGACCAAACAGAGAATCAGAGGGAGGCCTGGACGAGTGACACATGGATTCCTTCCGGAAAGACCAGCTTGCTGCTGCCCCCTCATTTGCTGGACTGCAGATAGTGACTGGAGTCTGCGCTAATCTGGGCTGGGCCTGCAGGTGCCTGGGGAAGAAAGGCTTTTGGTGGGGAAAAGTGGAGATCAAGCACCCACTACATGGTCCCAGGACCTGAATGCCAGTGGTTGTTCCTTCCCTTTACGAATGAAATGTCAGTTTGATTTTGAAAAGAAAAAACAAAACTAACCCCCCTCCCAAACACCTGAACATCTGCCTCTTCCCATAGTGTGGCTGGTTGCCTAATGTGTGTTTAAAAAACAATGTCTAGACAGTTACCCCAGGCCGGTTTCAAAAAGAAAAACTGTACATACATGCTCTGACAGCATGCGTTTTGCGTTCACGCTTTTCCCCAGCCCTCTGGGTCACTGGCTGGGCATCTGCTCTCTAAGTAACAAGGTGCACTGTACCAGCAGTGCACCTTACAATATTGAAACAAGCTTTGTTTATTCTGAAACAGAATAAAACTGTTGAATAGAAAAAAAATCTAAAAACCTGAGAATGCTCGAAGTTTAAAAAGTGAGGACAGTTATTGGTGTGACTTGTACTAAGTGGGTAAAATGAGAGAATCTGGGGAATGAGGAATAAAGAGGCAAACGTAGAAGAGGCTCTCCGAGGTCAGGGCGTCAGCTAGCGCTAGATCGAGTGGCGCTCTACATCTACGGGGCCCATTCTCCTCCACCCCCATCGCCTTCCGAGGCACTCAGGGCGCAGCCACGCCCTCCCTTTCTCACCCCTGCCCACGCCACCATCTGCGCACCGCCGCCCTGCGGGAGGGAACCGGCCTCCTATTCCCTTGCTGATCTACAGGTGCTGGTAAACAGAGCTGCAGCGCCGGCCAGTCCGCAGCCTCATCCCCACCCCCACCCGCAAAGCTCGGCTCAAGTGAATCTGGTTGTGGCAGGCGTCCGCCAGGGACCCCCAATCCAGCTCCTGGGGCTCTCGCTTCTGCTTCTCACGCCCACCAAACTAAGGATGGGTCTCCTGGGTTGCTAGCCATACTCCACCGCCAAGCTTGGTCCAGGAAAATGTTGCACATATAGCTCTGGCGACCACCCTGGGAGAGCTTCGGGCATTTTAACTGTGCCATTCTCTCCCTCCACCCCAATAATGGACACGCCTTCCACTATCTCTTATGAAGGTTGGGGAAACCCTTCCCCAAACTCAAAGCCCTGGCTACCGCTCAGTCCTTGCGCCTTCCGTCCCCTTCTTCCGAAGCCCAAGGTGGAGAAGGACACCCGTGCAGCCGCTACCTTCCCTGCCGGCCCCACCCAGACCTGCTCCCTCTGCCAAAGCCAGTGTGTGCAGTCTGTAGCATCCACCCGGCAGGGGCCTAGCGCCTGCACTGATGGCAAGGAGGGGCCAGGAGCAGCCCGGGCCTGGGTCCCAACATCCCGCACCCCTGCTCCGCACCACGCCAGCGGGCAGATCCCGTCGTGAGTGTGCGCCCCCGCAGCATGTCCTCGCCTGGGACTCCCCCGGAGGCTGCGGAACTGAAGGTCCCAATGCCAGTGGCTACGGGAACACCGGAGGGGCGCGGGGCTCAGACTCTCGGTGTTGTTTACTCTTGGCGCAGTTAGACTGGCAGGCCCGAGAAGCTCTGGCCCCAACACGCGGCGGCGGCTCCCAGTGCACAAGGGGTTTCTACTCCCTGCCTCCCTTCCCAGAACCCACGCCCGGCCCTGCCCGCCGCTCACGTCTCGGAAGCGGTTCCAATGCTTAATCTTGCCGCTGTACTGCGAGATGGACGACAGCCATTGCTCGTCCTCCATGAAATTGCCGGGGGTCTCGCCCTCCTTGAGCCCCTTGGCGTCGCCTTCAGCCAAGGCGACCATAGTGAGCAGCAGCAGCAGCAGCGCCAGCCGCCCGTAGCCCGGAGCGTTCATCGTGGTGTGTGCTTGGACCTGGGTGGGGGTTGGGAGTCTCGACTTCTGCAGGATTTGATGTCCTTCCCTCCACCGCGCCGCGCTGCTGGCGAAGGCTGCGGTCCTCCTCAGCCCTCCTCCTGCTGTCTGACTCCAGTGACTGACGGAGGCTGGGTCGTGGCTGAAATGTGACCTGGTTAGCAGATGCACACGTCAGAAAAAGCCCAGCGCTGGACGCGGAGGGAAAGAGAATCAGAGAGGCTGCGCCAGCGGGGGCTGAGTCTGTAACTGTAGCATCAGCATCACGTTTGACATCATCATACCTGGCTTAAAAAAAAAAAAAAAAAAAAAAAAAAAAAAAAAAAAACAGAGGGGGTAGATTTCAAAGCAGAGCGCTGGATCAGAGCAGCCAAGTCAGCGAAGCCGCAGCACAGGCAAGCCAGCCCATCTCTCAAGAGTTGCAATCCAAGGAAGCAAAACCCTGAGATGTCCCTACTGTCTATTCAAAGGGTAGACAGCAAAGATGGGCTCCAGGGTCTTTCACCGAGCTGGAAAAAAGATGAAAACTCTCGTGTTACTAAGCCAGTCAGGCTCAGGTGTCTAAAAGAAAATCTGACCACAGTTTCTTCCCCCTTTGCCTCCCAATCCTTGGGTGGCCTGTGCCACAACTCTGACAGCTGGGTCCCTGTGAGTTGACACGCTACGGTAATGGGTAGCTTCCTTAAGACAAAGGCGGTCTAATAACTGGCTGCCTCTGAACTATTGCTCCCCAGACCCACCACTCTTTTCAGTGCATGGCCTGAGCACTGCACCGCTGGTAAAACAAGGGCAGATGTCCTCCTCCCCAAGCAGCTGTTTAGGGGCTGGCACCCTTTCGTTAGCTTTTCAGCAACCCTAGAAGACTCATGCCTAGCCTTCATCTGCCTTGATTCAAGCCCATTTGCTTGTATTTGACTTCATGTTGCATTTGATGAGCCACTGGGGAAGGAGACAAGGCAGGAAGAGGCTCATCAACAACCTCAAACAACTGGTTTTGTCGGGGGGGGGGGGGGGGTAAGTTTTTGTTAAAACTGTGATCCTAATCATTTCCTATAGACGTCTGTTGACTTACCAGCTGGGAAAGCAGGCAGCTGGGCACAGACCCAGGATCAGAGTACAAATGGGATATTACAAATACATTGAAGAGTACAACAGGATAAAACATATTAAACTTTTGGGCCCCGAGCCCTAGACTGTGTTTTTATAAAAGACTTGGCTGCTGTGATGTTAAAATAGAAAATTAAAGGCAATGAAAGCACATGATCTTAATCAGCAGAAAACACACACACACACACACACACACACACACACACACACACACACGTTATGGGGTCTACAGTGGCCTGGGCTAGAGAATTCCCTTGAGAAAACACAAGACAATAGTTCCCACTTGGTTTTTCTCTGATGTCCTGTCTTGCTGCGAGCTCCAGACACTAGTGTCTGCATCCCACGATGAAAGCGGAGCCCTCCCAGGTGGTGCAGAGGTGCTTCACAGTGAAGCTCAACTTGTCATAAGGACTGGAGGGACTGAGAGGACCCCAATTTCTATCTAGAATGTAATGTTAATGCTATTGCATACCATACTTGAGCAAAATTATCCCAGGCATTTAAAAAACAAGAGTTTGTCCATCAGGTTGGAAAGAGGTTCTGAAGATTTACCAAATCTTGTCATCTTTCCTCCATCACTTTCGGTTTTGTTGTTTGTATGAGTGCTCTATCTGCATCTACACCTGCATGCCAGAAGAGGGCACCAGATGACAATATACATGGTTGTGAGCCACCACGTGGTTGCTGAGAATTGAACTCAGGACTTCTGGAAGTGCAGACAGTGCTCTTAACGAGAGCATCTCTCCAGCCCCTCCCTATCTTCCTAATCCCAGGCTTTTTATTTCAGACAAGGTCTCCTGTAGCCCAGACTGGCTTCCAATTAGATATGTAGCTTGAGGTTATTAACCTTTTAACTTCTGATCTCCTGTCTCAAGTGGTCTTGGGGAATCAAACCCAGGGCTTCTTCCATGCTAAGTGAGCATTCTACTGACTAAACCACATGCCCCTCAATCCTAGTCTCCAAAGCACTTAGCAGACAGCTCAGATGCACAAAGTGTTCTAGTGGTCTAGTTACCACATCTGCTTAACAACAAGCTTGGAAGCTAACCCAGTGCCCTTTAGCTGCCTTTAGACCCACGAAGGTCAGAATGATTTCCACACATGGGCACCAAGGGGACGTGCCTCCTGCAGCAACACAGACCAAGACCTGCAGCTGAAGGTGAAGCTATTTAAGAGGAAGAGTCCAAATGTTTAGACGACAGATGTTAAGAATTGTGCAAAATAACTAATAACCTAGTTTATAACTCAGAAGGCTTTTCTTCTAAAGAATTGTCGGTGCTTTCTCAAAAAAAATAGGAATAGTGCTACCTCAAGACTCAGCTATACCACTCCTAGGCATATATTCCAAAATATGCTCAAGTTTACAACAAGGACATTTGCTCAACCATGTTCATAGTAGCTTTATGAGTAATAGCCAGAATCTGGAAACAACCCAGATGTCCCTCAATGGAGGAATATCCATTCAGAAATTGTGGTACTTTTACACAATGGAATACTACTCAGGAAATCATGAAATTTGCAGGCAAATGGTGGAAACTACAAGAGATTATCCTGAGTGAAGTATCCAAGAGACAGACACACATGCTCACTTATAAGTGGATATTAGATATATAATATAGGATAAACATACTAAAATCTGTACACCCAAAGAACCTACACAAGAAGGAGGACCTTGGGTATGATGATCAATCCTCATTCAGAAAGGCAAATGGGATGGACATCGAAGAGGGAGAAAACAGGGAAGAGGACAGGAACCTACCACAGAGGGCCTCTGGAAGACTCTCTACCCAGCAGGATATCAAAACATATGCTGAGACTCACAGCCAAACTTTGGGCAGAGTGCAGGGAATCTTATGAAAGAAGGGGGAGATAGAAAGACCTGGAGGGGACAGGAGCTCCACAAGGAGAGCAACAGAACCAAAAAATCTGGGCCAAGGGGTCTTTTCTGAGACTGATTCTCCAACCAAGGACCATTCATGGAGATAACCTAGAGTCCCTGCTTAGATGTAGCCCATGGCATCTCAGTGTCCATGTGGGTTCCCTAGTAAAGGGAACCGGGGCTGTCTCTGACATGAACTGATTGGCCTGCTCTTTGATCACCTTCCCCTGAGCGGGGAGCAGCCTTACCAGGCCACAGAGGAAGACAATGCAGCCAGTTCTGATGAGACCTGATAGGCTAGGGTCAGATGGAAGGGAGGAGGACCTCCCATCAGTGGGCTGGGGCAGGAGCATAGGAGAAGAGGGACGGGGTGGGATTGGGAGGGAATGAGCTACAGCTGGGATACAAAGTGAATAAATTGTAATAAATAAAAAATAAATTAAAAAAGAAAAATAATGAAAAATGAATTTTAAAAAAAGACAACATTCTCATTTCTAGATGCTCTAAGTTCAAGACAATTGCACAAAGATACTCACTTCAAGATTGTTTGTGGTGGCTATTCTTGGTTGTCAACCTGACTACATTTGGAATTAACTAGAACCCAAGTGACTGGGTACACCTATGAGGGATTTTTTTCTTAATTAAATCATTTGAGTGGGAAGACTACTTTTAATCTGGATTTTTTTTTTTAAGATTTATTTACTATATATACAGTGTTCTGCCTGCATGCCAGAAGGGGGTACCAGATCTCAGTATAGATGACTGTAAGCCATGTAGTTGCTGGGAACTGAACTCATGACCTCTGGAAGAGCAACCAGTTCTCTTAACCTCTAAGTCATCTCTCCAGCCCTAATCTGGATCTTTTGAGGTGGGAAACTACAACTTTAATCTGGACTGCACCTTCTGGTGGCAGCCTACATGAAGGATGTGGAAGAAGGAAGCTCTTGCTCTTTCCCTGCTCGCCCTCACTCTCACTGACAAGTCCGCTCCTTCACTGGCATTAGAGCCTACTTCTTTGGGATTCTGGTGTATATTGAAGATCAGCTGAGACATCCAGCCTCGTGTACTGATCTACTGGATTTTTGGACTGATTATGCAAGCCTATAAGCCATTCTAATAATCACATATATGTTCTTCATAAACATATGTATATATTTTATAAATTCTTTTCCTCTAGAGAATCCTGACTAATATACTAGTAATCAATAATCAAGATGTTATATTTAAAATGGTACCAACAACTGGTCACAGTGTTGTGTGAATCTGTAGTTCTAGAATTTGGGAGGCTGACAAAGGAGGGCCATGTCAGCACAGGTAATTTAAGACCTGCCTGGGTAACACAGCAAGAGTCCATCTCAAATGAAATAAATATCTACAAAGAACTACCCACACAGACATAAAAAATTAATGTAGATTTCTACCTATTGCAAGTAATATGAGCTATTATTGGATAGGAAGAGCTCATCTGGTTTATATAGTGGGCTTAGGATGGAGAGAGGCCAGTGGTAGAACCCTTAGGTAACACATGATTCCCAGTGCTGCAAACACTTCCCAGCTGATCCTTGCATCAGTTAGCTTTGTGTTATTGTGACAAAACACCTGGGAGAACTAACCTGTTTATTGTGTCCTATGCTTTTAGAGGGTCCCTGCTGCTTTAGCTGGGTGGCAGCATAGCACATTGCAATATGAGGGGCAGAGGGGGCCTGCTCATCGCATAGGGGCTGGAAACCAACGAGAAGCAAAGCCTGGGATCCCATTATCTTCTTTAAGGACACCTCCTTAAAGAATGGCCTAGCTTCCTTCCACAAGGACCCACTTCCCAAAGTTCCAATCCCTCCTAATAATGCCACCGGTTAGGCTTTTAAGCACATGGGCCTGGGGGAGGAGTTTCCAAACTACAGCAGTCTCATCTACATGACCCCATTGGAAAGACAGTACAACATCACACTTACAACCTGGTCTCAAGAGCCTTTTACACCAAAGTATTACTGAGGATCGCCAAGAACTTGTTTGTGTGAAACAGACACATATTCGCATTTAGTATACTTGAAAATAAAACTAGGAATTTAAAAATATGCTTATTTAAAAATAAACTCCCCATTTCATATTAACAAAATAATAATGTATTATATGAGAAATATAAATCCCTTACAATCGGGGGAAAAAGTGACATTGTTTTCCATTTTTACAAATCTCTTTAATATCTGGTTCAAAGGAAGACAGGTAGCCTGGGAGCTTCTGTTCTACCCAGCAGCTGTCGACAAGGGCTGCCATAACAAAGCACCACAGACCAAAGGCCTCTGCAGCCAGTTTATTTTCACAGTTCCTGAGGCTAGAAGTTCAAGATCAAAGTGTTCAGGTTTGGTCTCTCCTTGACTTGTAGAAAGTCACCTTCTCACAGGGTCTTTTCAGGTCCTTCCTCTTAGTGAATGCTAGTCTTATCTCTTGAATGAGTCTCAATTTCCTTCTAAGGACTCTAGGCCAGTGGGACTGGGATCCACCCTAATGGCCTCTTTAAAGGCCCTGTCTCCAAACACAGTAACATGGAGGTACTGGAGCCTGGGCAGGACACAATTCCTAATGGCAAGTGGAAAAGAAATCACTAATAAGAGCCTAAAGGACTGAGGACAAAACGAGTTAGTTAACCTCCAAAAAACACAATGACAGCCTAAACCCTCCAACTTATTATACCCTAGAAAATACAAAATTAGACAAGTACACACTGCATTTAACTACCAGGGTGACATCATTCTATCAGTGGCCTCTTGGGGAATGAAAAGGCCCACAAACACCTTAGTACTTTTATAAAATTAGACCTTCTACAAAATTTTGGAGGATTCCAAGTAGTCCAAAAACTGTACATTGAGACCAAAGGCCTCAGGCAAAATGTTTAAACCTTAAAAAAAATACAATTTATGTCTTTTCCAATATGTGTGTGTGTGACATGTGTGCAGGTGCTCAGAAACCAGAAGAGGCGTTTTATCTTCTGGAGCTGGAGTGATAAGCCATGGTGAGCTATGTGATGGTGTGGCTAGAGACCACATTCAGGTCTTCCTGAAGAGCAGTATGTACTCTTAACCACTAAACCATCTGTCTAGCTCTAGATTTCATAATCTTGTTACTCCTCAATTTGAAAAATAAGTGTAATAATATTGGTGCCAAGTCCAGTGGATTACTGTGAGGGCTAAGTCAATGTACTAATACATGACAAGTGGGTGGACTCTGTTAATATTAGCTACTACTGTTTGGAAAAAAAAAACAAAAAACAAAAAAAAACCCTCAAATTTGGCCAGATGTGGTGGGTAGGCAGAGCTCTGTAAATTCAAGGCCAGCCTGGTCTACAGAGCTAGTTCCAGACCAGCCAGCCAGGTTATATAGAGACACTGTCTCAAAAAAAACAAAAAAACAAAAAAAAAAAAAAAAGATAAATTAAAAAAAAAAATCCTAATTCTACTAATATCTACCAATATGCAAGGTACTACAAAACACAAAAATCCTCATATACACTCCATTAGTCATTACACTGTCACGCTCACATGTCATCTCAGGAAAACTACCCTCTGCACTTGAGAAACCACCTAACAATCCAGCATCTGCCTAACAATATGGTATCTAGTCATGTGTGAAGAGAGCAGAAACCCTGAGACTTGATAACAGAATTCCTTGTTCTGTTAAGAATGCAGTATCTGAATTATTACACTGCAATCTCTAAAACAAAACTCTTAAGAATTCCTACAAGTATATGTCATTAATCCTGACACCCCAAAAAAGTTATCTTCACCGTAATGGACAAGGCTACCCGATAGCTGAAGAGAGAAGCTCTGGGGTCAAAGGAGAACCATGTCCTATGTAACAGCTGGAGGGGAGATATAAAACCTGACTGTCACCAGCAGAAAGCCTTTTGGGAAAGCTGACCTGGATACACTAATAAGTGAGACCCTGGTAAACACAACAGCTGAGTCGGTCAGTACTGAAGCCCTGGAGCCCCAACACACTGATGACGGTGCACAGACCACAGCTGCCTGGCAATATTAAGGACAGCACAGTAACCTGGAAAACTCATTTATTTGCAAATGGTCTGTGCCACTTCATGGAGAAGTAAAGCTCTGCAGCACAGATCTCAACACAGAGCTCAGGAGCAGATGTCACAGAAAGGAGCCATGGAGGATAAGGAATGAGGAACAAGAAAGACAGGGATGAGGAGGAGTGAGAACCAGAAGAGAGGAGCATGGTATGGAGCTCCCTTCTCTGCCAGTCAGCTGGAGGCCGGAGTGCTTGCTGCTGCCACACTTCCAGACTCATGATGCCCACAGTCACGGTTCTCTGCTGCTCTCCTGAGAATAAAACAGGAGAGAGTGATTGAGATGGAGGTGACAGAACAGGACTCCAACAATTTTGTTGCTTGTTTTAATATTTATTTTTATTTTATGTGTTATGGGTATTTTGCCTGCCATCTATGTCTGGGCACTATTTACATGCCTAGTGTCTGTACAGTGTCAGATCCCCTAGAACTGGAGTTACAGATGGTTGTGAGTCTCCACATGGAATCTAACCCATGTGTTCTGGAAGAACAGCTAGTGCTCTTAACCATTGGTCCAGGTCTCCAGTCCCTTGGGGTTCTTTTGTTTTTGGGGTGAGGGCTTGGTCTTAGATAGTCCAGGCTGGCCTTGAACTCTCTATGTAGCCAAGGATGACCTTGAACTTCTGTTCCTCCTGCCTCTACCTCCTGAGTGCTGGGACTACAGGCATGGGCCACCATACACTATGATACATGGTGCTAGGGATCTAACCCGCAGTTTTGTGCAAGCTATTCAAATTCTACCAACTGAGATACATCCTCAGTACCCCCCACTCCAAAATATTTTTAAGGGCTAAGTTTAGAATGAAAATAAATAGATTAAGCAACATAAATTTAATTATGACTGCTAAAGATAAGACTCTGGCCAGTGAGGGAGATGAAAACAGGGTATGGAAGGGACATCTGCACATCCAGGTCGGGACCAGCTCTATTCACAGTAGTTAAGATGTGGAAACAACCCAAAGGTCAGTTGTGGATGAATGGGTAAAGAAAATGTGGTTTGCATACAATGGGATATTATTCATCCTTAAGAAGGCAGGACTGTCAAATGATACAGCATGGTCAACTTTGAGGACATTATGCTAGGACAAATACTGTGCTTCTGCCTACATGAGGTACTCAGCTGTCACAATCATGAACAGAAAGTTAAACAATTGCCAGGGGCTGTCAGAAGTGAGGGGTAAGAGAAGTGCTTAACGGCAAAGTTACAAGTTTTAGGAAGTGAAAAGCTGTATGTGTGAATGGGTTGTGCTAACAGCAGCACAATGTTACACATGCATTTAATAACACCAGACCTCACAGTTAAAATGGTTAGTATAGTAAATTTCACATTATTTGTGTTTCTTCCTAACACACAAAATAGAACAAGCCAAAATGATGGGCTCAAGCTCCCCTTACATCTTAGCAGATACTGTGAACTGTGGGTGACCATCAAAGGGAATGTGGAGTTGGGGATTTAGGGGGACCACCCAGGACAATAAGCATCTAGCCTAAAATTGCTAAGATGAAAACCATGACCAAAATCAACTTGGGCAAGAAAGACTTGGCTTACTGGCTTGTTCCTCGTGGCTGGCTCACCCTGTTTTCCTATATATCCCTGTTTTCTTACACCTCCTAGGACTACCTGCCCAGGACACTGCTTGCAGTGGGCTGGGCCTTCCAACAGGTTTGCCTATAGGCCAATCTTATAGAGGCATTTTCACCACTGAGGTTCCCTCTTCCCACATAATTATACATAATTATATCAAGTTGACAAGAAGCTAACCAGCACATCGCCCAAATTCCCACACCCAAATCCTCTTCCTCACCACCTTAGGAAGGCATTCCATTTCTATTACATTCAATACCCATTTCAGGAGAAGTCAACTTGTCCGCAGGAGGCATAGTTTCCAAAGCTGTCCACTGAGAACCTCTGGGAGATGTGAATGGAATTGAGCTTCAGGGAACCAAAGTAAAAGTTCTCAAACTTCTGCAAAGGAAGCAATCAAAGAGAGCTAGAGATGGAATGTTCGATATCCTGTATGCCTACACTGCACTACAACAATCCCCCCACCCCAGCTTCTCTCCTCAGTGCTTATTCTGAATAATAATCCCAGAGAGGAGGGAGGGAGAGGAGTGAGAAAGGACAGCCGGTTCTTCTCATTAATCCTAAAGTCTCCCAGAGAAAATGCACTAGACAGTAGAGCTACAAGTCATAGCAAAGATGCATGTGCTGAGCAGACGTAACAAGAGTGTGCAATAAATACTCTGGGGCTACATTAGACTCTCAGGGCTTGGAAATGCCTTTGACTTCTAGTTATACCAAGTAAGACCCCTTAGTATCAGATCTCCTTAGGGCAACACAAAAGTCCACAGGGCACATCCCTCTACCTTGTTAACAGCTCTTACTAGGAGCACTGACAGCGTATGCAGGGTAAGAAGCTCAGAGCCACACATGATAGGGACAACCCAGTAAAGGGAAACTTCAATACTCAAGTGTGCAATGCCACAGAGGAACATTGAATACTTATGAAAGCCTTTCAGTTAGATACTCAGGCCAGTATCCTCTAGGAAATGTTCCAAACTGCACTCTTCTATGCTGAGTGCTTTCAAGAGCATCAGTGGAAGGGAAGGACCTGACCTTGTGAACATACATTCAGAAGGCAGAATCTGAAATGACACTGGAATTCATCCCAAAGAACTAGGGCTGCCAAAAAAAGTAGTCTATGGCCATACAGCCCTGAACACACCCAATCTAATCTCAGAAGCTAGGCAAGGTCAGACCTGGAAGAACTGGGATGAGAGGAGTCTAACCTTCCAGGAAGCAAGAACTGCTCTGTTTACAGTCAGAAAGACCCCAAGAAATCCTTCCTTTTTTTTTCCTTCTCGGCCCTAGGGTTGAACTGAGGGTTTCTGCTCTACCTCCAACCAGCCTTTCAATACAAGTTCCAAACAACCCTGAACACAATCTATGAGTGCAACTGTCTCTCCACTTAACACCCATAAACTCCAGGCACTGCCACCTTTCTTCTTCCTGCAATTAGCGGCCTAGAAAAATGTCTGAGGTTCATTAAAAGCTAACTTTACAAAGTCTAATCAATATTTATTCTTCAACATGACATCAATTTGACCCCCAAAGGATCTACATGGAGGCTGTGAGCTGCACTGCATAGTCTTTTTGAAAGGAGAGCAGTTCTCTCCCGCCCTGATTTACACAATTAACTCTGTGTCCTGGCTCAGGCACCCTGTGCAAACCATACCCACTCTTCTTGTTAAAAAAACAAAAAACAAACAAACAAACAAAAAACCTTAGGCTGAAATAGTTATCTGTTAATCCCTTTGCTGAACATTATTTTGAAGTGAAAAGCACATAAATAAGACTGACATATTTATAGCTTTGCAAACTGAAGCCTTCTAGATATAGAAAATACATAATACCCAAGAGGCAAAAGGAGGGACAAAGAAAACAGTGTGTGCTGGGGGGGGGGGTGTCCTAGAGTCTTGTACCTCATCTCTGTGTTTATGGTCCCAAGTAAAGGAGACATAACAGCGAGGAGCTAAAGTGACCTGCCTACGACCCCCAGAGACACAATCTGCCCGAGAGAAACCTCACAGCATTCAGGTTGATAAATAAAAGCAGTGCACGTAGTAATAATGAAATTAGCTAGATGTGATGTCAATGGGGTACTCAAGAATATTAGGAGGAGAAGAAACACACATTTTTAAATTCTCTGAGGCCAGTGCAGGCTGTGAAGACAATGGGTACATTAACACCACTCACTGCACCAACCCATATGGAATAAAAGATCACAATGAGCAGTGATCCAGTAAGACAGACAAGCAAATTGTAAACTGTTTTCGAGAATCAGGAGTTTCTAATGATGTTTCTAAAATCTCTCAATTCTCTATGATTTGCATTTACTTTACCTTTCTAACTTTCTGCCTTCTCTCGTGCCTTTTGATAACAATATCCCATCAAATGGATTTTGCATACAGAAGTGTTTAGCCCAGGCTAACCTTCTTTATAGCCTTTCCTACCTCAGTGTTCCTGTTCTCTCTGAATGTTTGGGAAAACTTTGGGACAGATGATCTTGCAATGATTTTTCAGTTATTTTATTCCTTAGTCACTGTTATATTTTTAGTATGAAGCCTTGCTGTTAGTGACATCAATCATTTTCTAGTGATTCATCAGAATATAAACCTTGTGGAAGGAGGAACTGAATCCCACTATATTCTGTAATAGTGTCTAGAAGTTTACATGGGACCAGTATGTATCTGATGGGCAAAATGACAACAAAAACTCATGCTATAGATCTCTCCCTGTCTCTATAAGTGCACAAAGGGAAAAAAACATAACATGTTGGTGTGCAGGCTAAAACTAAACTATAAATTAGCATAAAGAAATCCCTGATGAGGACTTTTAACAAAAACTGTATTACCTCTAATTAAGCTGGGAGTGGGAAGCATATCTTAGTTCTAACTGGCTGTCAAGAAAGAACCTCATCAGTAATGGAAACTTAGAGACTATGTCATAGTCTCTTGTCTACAGGGACTGGATCTGCTCTAGGCTCAGCTCCTGATGTGGAGTTTCACTTAGCACTGATGATGGACATTCCGTGCCCATGTGCACAGTGTGGCTCTGTCTCTGGAAGCAGACAGGAGGAAGAAGTGTGGAAGCTGTGGCTGTGGTCTTACCCAAAGACCCTGCTTACTTTCCCCCAGATCTGAACATGCTTCTGTGTGCATGTAGGTATGCAGTCTCTACCTCAGTGAAAATGTTTACCTGGATGAACACCTGGAATCCCAGCACTCAGGAGTCTCAGGCTGGAGGATTGAAAATTTGAGGCTAGCCTAGGCTAGATGAAATCCTGTCTCAACAATACAAAACAAATACAAACAAACAAACAAAACTCTACAGCAAATGTTAAGTGTGTGGTGAGAGTACAGACTGTTATTTCTGAATCTAAAACACAGAACCCCCAAATCATGTTTGAATGACATTCCCCAGCTCGTGGTTGCAGCCTAGCTTAGAGTTCTGGCTACTCTCTGCTTTCTGGTCTGTAATGTGAAGAAGCTCAAGCTCACATTCCCATGTCTATGTATACATGCCTATACCAAAATAGTGACTGTAACTCTGAAACAGCAGCCAACAAAAAACCTTTCCAACTGTATGGTGATCCTGCCACATATTTTGGCTACAACAAAAGTAACTACTCTGTGCTTCAGAAATGCAGTGGGACCTGAAGAAATGCTGGGCACTAAGGAATGGGTGCCAGCAAAGCCACCTGGAGGAGAGCAAAACTGAGCTGGACCTTAGGGCATGTACAAGACAAGGTATAGTGCTCTGAGGCAGGAATGAGCATGGTGAGCAGGGCCAGGCAGTTAAGATGTTAGAAGGGGTCCTGAAAGTTACAATGAGACCTAAGGAGGGAGAGATACACCACAGAGGCCCCTGAGGTTAGGTTCACAAATTAGACCTTAGGCTAGCCAGAGGGAACCACTAAGGGCTCTGAGCAGGCTGCTGAAATGGGAAGCAGCAGAGAACATTCTGGGTGCAGAGAAGACATGGGAACCAGGGCGAGCAGGCACAGGAGGGTGTCAGCGCACTTCTCAGAGGGAGCCACTTTGTCTGGCCTCCTCAGGCACCTGCACACTGCAATACCCTACAAGGACATATTCTACACAGCTGTCTGTAACTATTTCTCCAGCTATAATGTCTCAGGCCCTTCTCCAGTCTATGATTTCCCTGACAGGCTGTCATCATGCATTAGACATGTGCTCTGGAGCATGGTTAAACACATGGAAGCATGTTATCACAAAGAGCTTTATAATCAGCCATATTAGGGAAATGAATCCTTTGTTATGAATTACAAGTTTGCCCTTGTAATTTGTTTGTAAAAAGTTATCACTTTTTTCTTTTGACTTTATGACGGTGCTCACATATCAATTTAAAATTTCATGAGCTGACATTTATAACAAGAGATTTTTAAAACAGTGTCCTGACACCAATACAATTATATGCTGAAAGATAAAGTTGAAGCATAAACTGCGTTAGTGGTGACAACAATACCAATGAAGATTGCAAAAGTCAACATTTACTGAGCAGCACCGTGACTGGACAATGTGTCCTCACAACCCTACAAGCAGGAGCTACATTGAACCCTTGTCTTACTGCTCAGTGTGAGGTTGGAAAAACTGTGATAACTTAGCCAGTGGGGTTCAGGATAGGCTATCCCACAAATGGCACTCTAGCATTTAAGGAAAGATGGGCGCAGGATGATTTCTCTTCCTCCCATAGCCCTTTTCCCCTGAAGTAGGTCCTAAGACACTCCCGGGAGAGACTCACCTCCCATATCAGAAACAAAAACCTTCTTTGTGAAGATAGGACACACCTTGTCCTGAGTGAATGTGTTCACATAGGCATGGCCATGTCTAGGACCCCATCCATACCATAGCCTCATCTCAGAAGGATGGCAAAGCCTTCCTGGGGAAGCCAAGATTCCAAGGTGCTGAGGCCCCATCTAAGAACGCAGTCCACCCGACCACAGCTTTCTGTTTGTGTGTTCACTTTCTGTCTTTATTTTATTTTTTCATTTTTTGAGACAGAGTCTCTCTGTGCAGCCCTGACTGTCCGGAACGCACTTTGTAGTCCAGGCTGGCCTTCAACTCAAAGATCCACCTGCCTCCTGAATGCTGGGACTAAAGGTGTGCACCCACTGCCTGTCTTTTTTGCATTCCCTCCCTGCCCTCAGTCAGGTCCACTTCCCATGGATCCACGTAAAAACACAGTCACATCGTATCACCAGGGAAAAAGAGATGAACAGTCCTCACTATGTCCACATAGATTTTTTTTTTCATGTTCTGAGGGCAGCAAGGGGACCGACTGCCTGTAGAACTTCATGTGCACTTGGCTGCACACAGACTGGTCTTCTCCTTCACTCCTCTCCTTCTCCTGGTCCTGAGGAACATTGTGCCAGCCACTATTGGTAT